CGTTTGTAATGTTCTCTATTAAATTTTAAAGCAAAGCGCAACTGGACATCAGCTTTTCTTAATGCATCAATTTTTTTGATTTTATCTTGTTCAGCACGGGCAACTTCTAGATAAGCACAACCTAATTCTATATAAATTATCGTCATATCTTTTGCTCGGTTATTGTAAGAGTAATCTGATTCTGCAACTGAATGAATTGCGCGTAAACTTTTTTTTAAGTAATCAATTGCCTTTAGAGGATTTGTTTTTGTTTCCCATCGGGCAACATCAAGATAAGCAAGTGATTTTATTTCAGCATTATTTTTAATAAAATCTGAAATTATCAAATCGTTTATAATTTCCTTCGCCTTTTGAAATTTTCCTTGTTTTTTATAAGCTGCTGCTAAGTTTCGACATGTGTAATATTGATCCTGGGCTTTAACATCATCTAAATTTATCAATAGTGAATGTAGATGAAAAGATTGCTCAAGATATTGAATTGTTAAATCTTTTTCTTGTGCATCTAAAATTTTCCACAATCTTATATTTACTGAAGCTAATTTATATAATATTTCTATGGTATACATTTTAATTCGTTCTAAATTATATGTAGTAATATCAACTGACAATTCAAATGACAAGCTAGAGAGTTCAGTTATTATATTTTTGCCTATTAAGTTTTCACTTAAATTACGCGATTTAATGTAGCAAGATTTGGCTTCGTGCAATAATTCCTGATTTTCATAATAACAACCAATAGCGTAATACAATTCAATGATCAAATATGAATATTCCGGTTGAGCTTCAAGATGCATAACCACCGACCTAACATGTGGTAAAATATTAATTTGATCCCACTGAAACTTATTATTAGGGCTAATATTATCACTACGACGCCATTTTACTTTTTCTACCAAAAACTTAAAGAAACAAGTTTGAAAATCAGATAATTTAGTGATGGGAATTAGGTTTTCTTTAACCAGTATATTTTGTTTGAGCATTGTCTGGTAAGAACAATGCATACTTATATAACTACCTTCACGTTCTATCAGCATAGTTTTCTTACATAATAAATTAATTATTTTTTCTGATTTATTTTCAGAAATTTTTGAATAGGACTGAAAATAATGGGTTAACAAGGTTATTGGAATGTTTTGACTTGGCAATATACTACAAATTTGTAACATCAATAGTGCTATCTGAATTTCTTCTTTTAGAAGTAGTTCGTTAGTGATGTATTGAAAATTTTTGAGAGTGGTTAATAAAGCTTGCTGTGAATTTAAACCAAAATCTTTTAAAGGTTGTCCTAATTTTTCATTAGCTCTTAAATAACTAGCAATATCGCCACCTAAATTTTCGATAATATAATTAACTGCCT